TTGAATTCAACTAGAGATGTTTATTTATATTAGCCACCTGATTTTAAATTACGTATATATTACAGTATTATATCAATTTTATTGAATTTATTATGCCGAAAAAATTACCGGCCGAAAATTTTTTTCGGTAATTTTTTATAGGTGTCCCAGGAATAATGAAAACAGCTGTAAGTATGGATTTCCGAAAATTCTCGAGTCTGCCGAAATATCAAAAGGTCTTGCTGAAATGCCAAAGTGGCTTGCATAAGATTCTTCAGATCCGGCTTAACATATATGAAGTCTAATTTTTATCACATTTATACAGATTATTGGCAGCTTTGCGAACGTTTGCCAAGTGGCCGAAATGGCCAAAAGATTTCGGCCAGATAACACAATACGGATAACGTGATCAATGGCGGCCAAGACTTTCAGATATTTTTTAATGTTCATCCTTAGTTTACTATTAGGACTGATGTGGAATAATTAATCCGGAAAATTTTATAATTCAAACAGGGGTTGGCATAGTGCGTTACCGTCATACGAATTTTTTCGAATTTTAGATTTTTTTTTATGGATATTGCGCCAAACTTACTTAGAAGGATACGTAGCAGGGGGGAAAAAAAGAATCCGAGATTTTCAATTTAAGAAATTCTTATGTTTCATAAAAAATATTGTTAATCACCTTATTTAGATATAACAACGTAATTAAATTTATTGGAAATCGCAAATTTGATTAATACTGTACCAGATATGTTAAGTGCGTTTACCCCGCTTTAGCGATCCCGGGATTTAATAAAAAAAAAAAATAAACTAAATGTGTGAAAATTTATAGCGCATTATTATCAGGAGCTATCACTTACTTACTTTTGCAAAATCTCGTCCTTTTTTGTTTCGGGTTCTTTCGCACATCATATCATTTAGGTGAGACCATTCCAAATTTGAAAGATTATTCAGAATATACGATTGTTAAAGAGATTTTTATACGTTTTATAATATCTTGAAAGAGGTTCAGGTAACCTAAATACTTTACTACGAAATATAAATAATTATTGCCATATTATATTAATATCTGTTTGAATTCCAAGAACTTTATTACAATTTAAATTTTGATATTTATATTACAATTTAAAAATTTGAAACATTTAACTAATTTAAATAAACTTTGAAAAAAATTTTTAATTTTTGTAACGTTTATTTTTAAATTAACTGATTAGTTCGAAATTTTTGTATGAATTGAAAGTCTTAAAGACATGTTTGATTTTTAGTTACATGATATAGTCCATTGCACAATTAAAATATTAATCTAATAGTATATGTATTTAAGTTATTTAGAACAAAAAAAATTTTGTTATGTAAAGAAATGTCCAATTTTATGGCCCTCTGATTTATAACCTGATTCATAGTTCGATACGTGACTGTAATAAAAATAAAAGGCCCAAATATTTGATTTGACAATAATGCGTAAAAATAAATTATCCACATACAGTATAACTACCATTTCATATTATATAGTCACTACTGTGTCTTGTGCGTACATACGAACACGAACATAATATACGCAGGCCCGTACGTACTTTTACTAAAGATTTACGCAAAAATCTCTTCCAATTATTAGGTAATCCAAATACTATGATAATTAAAATTCCTTGAAATCCACCAACCCAATCAGTTACAGTTACACCAGTTGGAATAGGATGTCCATTAATAATCCCTATAACGGCACCCACACTTGCTAATAAATTAACAAGTGCAAATAAAGATGCAAAAAGTACCATACGTATAGCTGCTGCTTTTGTCATGTCATAGTTTCTGGTGTTTTTTGTAAAAGTTGAGGTGGATCGATTTCCTGGAAAGGTACTTAATTGTGATAATTTATTAGTTCGTCGATGGGAAGGTTCTAAATTTAATATTAAGTCGGAATTTGTTCGTTGATGGGAAGGGCTTAAATTTGGACCACTTTGTTGATATGAATCTAAAAAATTTTCTACACCGCAATCATTTTGTTGATAGGAAGGATCTAAGCATCTAATAGAAGATGGGCTCTTTATTTGTGCGCTATTGCTGTTATTGCTCGCCATTTGTCCTCTGCTTCCACTACTTAATTCTGTAGAATCCCTGAAATATTCCAAGTGTTTACATACCGCATAAGCAGAGCGCCCTAAAATGTTTATGAAAAGATATTATCAGTTATGCATCAAAAATATTATTTACTTTATGTAATTCTATTAAATAGAAGAAGGATCTTTACCACTGAAATAAACACCTGGAATACTAAGTAATAGGTTAGATCCGGAATTTGCGAGTAATCTAATCCATGATGGAGAAACAATATCACTACAAGATAAAATCATTTTTTATCAATAACATACAAAAAAAAAAAAAAAATCGTAAATAAATAATACATATTAATTAATGTGCACTCACCAGTTCATCCTTCTTGGTTTGATGGCCTTGAAATGCAAAGAAAGCGCCATGATTATACAAGTCATAACAGTCGGATAGATAATAATAAATCCATAATATATTTTTTGTGTTGTTGTTTTCTTACGAAGAACAAGGAGATGATAGATATGAATTGAAAAACATAGGGCACATGCTACGGAAACATAACACATATATTGTAACTATTTATTATAAAACAGAAAGTTATAAGTTTTACATACATAAATGAAATAACATTTTGCATTCATTGTGAATAAAATGATGCTCACTACTAATCCTTGAAAAACGCAAAATCCGTAAGGAGCGTCTTGCAATTTGTTTTTCCAAATCATACTGAGTAATATATCAAAAGAGAAAAAAGCATAAGAAACTGACATCGCTGCAATCAGATAACTCTTTCCTTTACGATATAATAATATAGCAGTATAAATCGAACATATTAACGATATACATAAGAGTATATTAAGAATATTTACGATTGAGTTGGGAGTCATTTTTGATAAAGAAATGGTAAAATAAAGAAATGGTATATTGAGCCAGCTTAATTTAAGTTTTTTTTTTCAAACACTCAGCGTAAATCACAAAATTAAAAACAGTTAGTTTGATAATTCATTTGTCAACTAATTCATATAATTCATAGATTAAAGGTAGATTTATATTTTATCCTTTTAAATTTTATATTCATTTTTCAATTTATGCTAGATTATTTAATAATCATTCTAAAGTTTTAACTTTTGTGCATAAGTTTGATCGTTAACGTTAAAACGTAGATCTTGAATGATAAATATTTATACCTTAAATAGTTATACACTAACTACAGTAAATTCAACTTTCCATATTAAATTTATTGTGATGATTCTATTTGCCAGGCTAACTAGATTAAATCCCGGATCCTCTATTCAGTTTATTAATTGAAATTCAATGAATATTCGGATTCAACTCTGAAAATTAAAATTTATTATACATATTGAGTTTGTACAGTAAGCACCCCTGTAATTATACAATATTAAACAATCTAGTTTTATAACCAAAATCAGGTACGTAATCGCTGCTTAAACTTTGATCTAAGCTTTAGTATTAGGCCATACAAATTTAATTACTTGGTTTTCATAACATGAACCTTTTAAATAAAATCGGGGGTTTTTTTATTACACCCAGTTATTACAGCTGTTTTCCTAAATTCCGGGACATGGTCGGTCAATTTTTTTGACAGATGTCCCAGAATTCATGAAAACAGCTGTAAAGCATAAAAATTTTTTTGAAGTTTTCAAATTTTGACCCGGTCGGGTTATGAAAATCAATTAATTAATTTTTGCATGGCCTTATTTTGATTAATATGAAAATTTATAAAATCACGATTTTTTTAAGAGAAATAATCCAAGAATTCTTTATTTATTTATTGATTAGTTCATTCGTTCATTCATTTATCCATCCGAAGGACCAAAAGAATTTTAGTTATTATAAACATTAAAGTTTAATTTTATTTAAATTGGGATATTCCACTCAATTGTACAAATTCAAGTTCGGGTTTTTAAAGACGCAATTTGAGTTAGGGATCTGCAACCCGGGCCCATACCTTAAAAGGCGCGGGACCGGGAAATCTTAGTAATAGGTCCCCGCCATAAAAAATTATTTAGTATGTTTTGCGAATCAGTTTTGCGGTCACTTAAAAAATTTAATAACAAAGCGAATCAATTTTCATTTTTAATCATTTTTAGTCGAACATCTTGGTATATGTAATACTTTTCGGTTGCTTCAATTATTTCGTATTTTACGTTCGTTGATTTTCTAACCGGAATATTTCGGACTTGTACTTGATTTTATAATAAATCGAATCAACTAATAGCGAAGACTTTTTTATATTCTATACATATACGAATATAATCCGGTGCGATGACTTTTTTTCTGCGAATAATATAAATTCGAGGACTTCACAAGACTTTATAATAATTCGAATCTATGATAAGTCGGTAACATTTTCCATATTTATAGTAGTATTCGAATATTGTTGCGGCGGGACCTATTATATAGATTTCCCGGTCCCACACTGGGTTTAAAATTCCCCGAAATTCTTGGTTTGCAGATCTTTAAAATTGACTAATCATAATAGCGATAGAACCCCGATAATACTATAGAGGTTATATCGAAATTTTGGATAAAAAAGTTACTTTTTTACTAAAGTGTAATATTTGAAAAGCCAAAGGGTTATGTTTAAAAGTGGATAAAAGTTTTTAATAATATGTTATTTAAGATGGATAAAATTAATAAATTTTAGATAGGTTACATTTGAAATTTAATAAATAAAAAGATACGTACATACGTAAAAATTTTTTTTTGAGAAAAATTTTCTGAAAAAAGAAAAAATATATTTGTTATATTTGTTAAACGGGCTAAAGCTTATATATAAAATAAGGTTAATTAGCTCTAATAAAAAGTGGATAAATTTTATAAAAAAATTTATATTAAAGCCTCTATATATATTATATCATAATGCAAAGACAATATCACGTTACACCTGATTTCATATTCTGATTGGTAGTAATGCATCACGTTATGGCTATTGACCAAAAAAATTTTTTTCACGGAAAAAAATAAAATAAAAATATGAATCTCCGGAATCAGATTCACCTTTGCTTTAGAGATTGGAACCGGTGAGTTTCTAGCTTTGATTGATCGATCCCAAACTCTAGAATTTCGAGCATCGGTAAAAAAAATTTTGACCGATGTTTGAATGTTTGATGAATTTTTAAAAAATTTAGTAATATTTATCAATTGTACTACTATCACTACATTTTTAATATATAATTTATCAATTATATAA